TAGTCTTGGCATTTGGGACATTTGCATTTGTACTGGTTGTCACACTTTGCTTTATTTTGAGTTTAGCAGTTCACTGTTCAGGATGAAAAATGTTACATATCTTTTTCCCATTTACGTGACACATGCTTACTACCCTGCAAGAGCAGGAAGGAGCTGGAGTATGAGCTGTGGTTTCAACCAGTTTAGTAGTAGCAGCCTATGGATTGTCCTACCTATAGTTTCCATGCTGTGGTGCACAACTGACTCGGGTTTTTTTCTGATGGCAGCTTCTAATTTTATCAGCCAGAAGACAGTCCACTCTTCAAAATCCAAAATGAGTCAATTGAGACCAATTCCTAAGAAGGAATTGGACCTACTGCCTCTCTTGAATTGACGGGGTAGTTGAGGCAATGTTTTGCTCTGTGGTTTGACTCCAGTGAAGTCAATGGGCTTGGCCCAACTTTATCAAGTGCATCTTAAGAGTGGAAATTACTTGTCATAGCTTCTGAATGCAGTCACTTTCTCCTTACTGGTTATGATTTGGGGGTCAAGTTCTGCTGAGATTTTACAAGTGAAAATGTGAGTCATGTGCAGGGTTTCAGTGGCATTAGCTTTTCAGAAGTCTGTTTCAACATTTAAATTCTACTCTTACAAATTTACATAAAAATTGATAATTCAGGTTTGTAACAGTTTTTCAGATTTGCCCTCACTAGCTGGACTAATTTCTTGGTGCAGTTTGCCCTTATCACTTGATTTGATTTCAGTAGATTCACACAAAACTTGATATGTTTGTTTCTAAGAGGGACGTTCATTCACGTTCTCCTTAAAGAGCAGCTGGATCCTCTCTTATCCTTACATTAAAGTTGCTGTAGTTTTTGTGTAGTTTCTTTTCTTAATTAACCCACCCCCTTTTGAACTCCTTCACTGCCTCAGTCAAAACCGTAATCCCCTGCGACATCTGAATAAATTGCTGGAGATGGTTTGAATGTCACGAAGTGAGCATTAGATCTCAGGGAAGAGGAATATGGAGACCCCTGGATCCTGTTTCTAATAAATCTCTTAACTAGGAAAAGGTTGCTTGATTTTTTTTAAATTTTAATTTAAAAACCAGAAACAAATTTGGCTTTAAATTCTAATTGCAAAGGAAAAATTGAGTTGCTCCAAATTCACCCCACTATATCTACCTCAGTAATGATGAAAAAGAGGCTCCAAGCTGGTTTTGTGTAACTTCTGTTTTGGCAGAGGAGAGCTGCAGTTCTGTGGGTTAGATTGCTGTAAGGCGAAAAATGAATTGCTACCCTGGAAAAGCTTCTTAAATGGCTGGCATGGCAGAGCTGTGTTCCGAGTTGTAGTTTGGAGAAGTAAGTTCATCATGAGTAGCTCTGTGGCTCCTCTTCCTGCTGTTGTGGACACATTGGTAGCTCGTTGTTTCTGGGGGTGATGGTGGTTTTGTTTTCTGGTTTGTTGGTTTGTATTTTTTTTCCAGGCTCCTTGCCCGAGTGCATCTTGGGATTTCCCTTTTGCTGAATGAGCTGCTTGTGTGAGAGGGAGGAAGTGAGGTCCCTTCTGGATTAGGAGGGAATGGGGGTGGAGGGTGGGGAAATGTCCTGTTTCATATGCAAAGCACACTGAACTGGGAGAAAAAACCACATGAAAACCTTTTAAGAAAACCATCCATGTCACAGGCTGGTGGAGCAGCTGCTGGCTTTGTTAAGGAGAATATTAAGGTCTCAGAGACTTGCAGAACCTTTGGAAAATGAGATAAAGGATGGGATTTTTATTTTTTCTTAAGATACAAGCTGAGGCAAAAGAAGTAATCTCCTTATCAATATCTGAATGGAATGTAATATCAGTGATGTGATACCAGCTTACACAACAGTCAGAATCTCAGTGAGATACGCTGTTAGGGCTGCTCTCCACTTCCTGAGATTTTGAGTGTAAAAATGGTCCTGAATCTTCAGTTACATCAGTATTAGCTGTGTGCGTTTTGATTGCCGTTAAGTTTCTCCTGCTTGGTCTAGTAAGTGATCTAGCAAAAGAAAAAAGTAGCTCTTCTGACCTTAACAGCTTCAGCTGAGAGCAGTAAAACCTGTGCAACAGAAGAGCAATCTGGTTGAGAAAATGCTGCTTTTTTTTCTTGTATCAGTGATCGACATCAGGAATTGGATGGGAAAGTTTCCATAACACTCAAAGTGAGGAGGGCAGCTACACTTTGCCTGTAGTCTCCAGTCCTCATCCCCATCTGGGTTGGGTCAATAGGAGATCAATTAAAATAAGATTATGGTAAAAAAAACCAAACAAAACCCCAGACCCTTGCTTGCATTTGTCCTGTTAAAGATAAAATAATGCTTAGTGTTAAATTCCATTTAATATATAATGCAGATGCAACTCCCTAGCTCTTGCCTTTTTATTACTCAGTCTCACATGTCCAAGCAGACACCACTGCAGAGCATTAGTCTGGCTTAGGGCTGCAGTGTCTGTTGGAGTTGATGACAGTGTGGTATCAGCATCATCTACATTATTGGCACGAGCAGTGCGAGGCTGACCCTGTGGTCAGTCCTGTCGTTGTTCTTAAGCTTGTATGTATTCTAAAACATGATTGCTTCAATTCCTGGAATAAATGGGGCTGCCATTAGATTAAAAAGTTTGTTCTTGGGTTATTGGTATAAGAAGCCTCACTTGAAAAAGGAGGCTATGAAAAGGAGCAGCTCGCAGAACTGCCCTTTTTGTCAGGATATGCAAGTAGTAAACTTGATGGCAATCTCACCTAATCCTGTCTTACTAATGGTGCAACTCTAGGCATCAGAAGCATTCTGATGTTTGGTGGCTGAATTATAAAATCCTTTTGCATCAAGATAAAGAAGCTAAATGTCTTTTGTATTGCTTTTATTTTTCTAATTTAGAAGATCAGAAATGATAGAGGTTGATAATGTAATAATGTTAACACTTCAGTCACAGAAATATCTCTGTTGCACAAGTACAACATTCAGAGACAGAAGGAAGTGCTCTGCTGCAGGCCTGGCAGGTTTCTGGTTTGTATGCTGAGCTCTTTTTTTGTACAACATTTCCAAATGCTAAAGAATCCCATCCTTTAAAAAGGGAAGTATGGCAGCATCATTTCTGCAGTGGTTACCTCCCAAAAGTGAGCAGATATTAACTTCTGCTGCAGTATCTGCCTGTGTCTGGTAACAAGCCTGAAACAATGAGTCCATTTTATGTTGGGAAATTGTGTTCTTGACTCTTAGTATTTATCCACTTAAAGAAAGAAAATCGTCATCTGACATCCTTGGAGCAGTGCTTCTGTCAGACTAGTTTCGTCCTGCACGCTTCAGGTCATTTATGAACCATGTAGCTGGCAGATAATTGCATGTTTTCCTTGACTTGATTTAATCTTGGAGTCAAAGGGTTTTTTTCCTGCCACAGATCTGAAAGTTTTCTCAAACCTTTCTTAAAATTCACACTAAATTTAGTGGCAGAGGCATGCAGACATTGACATTTTTTCTCCTACAGTGATTGAAATGAAGTTATTTGGGTTTTTTGTTTTTTTTTTTTTTTTTTAAGCTGAAATGGATTCTCTTGGATGTAAACCCATTTTTGGGAGTAACAGCTGTGCGTATGAGCAGGCAGTAATGATCACAGGTTACAAGTAGGGGAATAGTTAGCATGGCTATAAAACATTTGCTGTAATTCTGAACGTTGCTGTTGGAATCACTTATGTTCTAATGTTCTTAACAAAAGAATGTTGAAAATCTCAGCTGAAATTTTCTATTTCATTCAGAATCTGCCATTGCGTTTTCTCATTGCCCTTGGTTGGTTTTACAGAGCTGCCTTTTGCACAAGGAAGTGCTTGTGTAATGCCCAAGCCATTCCCATTCCTCAGTGAATGATATGCAAATCTAGTCAATTAAGCAGGGGGGATTTAATTAGCAGTTTAAGTTCATGTGTGAAGTGTCTTGCCTTAATTACTTAACAGTTTTGTTGCAAATTTGCTGAGGGTTTTTTTTTCCCCACAGAACTATCAAAACTGTGATTTTTTTTTTTTTTTTATTTTTTTTTTTTTTTTTCCCCCCTTTCTTTTCTTTCTTTCATTTTTGGTAACTTTTTCAACTCTCAAGTATTGCCCAGTCCCTATGCCTCCTGCGTTGCTCCTGTGTGTGCATCCCTCTACTCAGAAAGCTCTTGTCAGAGCTGCGGGGACAAAGCAAAACTCTATTGTCTCAAGTAGAACAATATATTTAAAAAAGAAAAAAATAAGGATTTTTGTTCTTCAGATATGGAATGAAAGGCCTTTTTTTTGTTTTGTTTTTTTTTTCTGTTGTTGTTGTTTGTACTTAGATGACACCATTGTAGTAGTATCTGTGTAATAGTCTAATATGATTGCCATGCCTTGTATTGAATGGTGGCTTTTGTTTCCTATTCTGTCTGGCCAGGTTGCTTTTCTGCATCACTGCAGTGTCAGTTTGTTGCTGTATCAGTGGCGTTGCAGTGATGGTGATGCAAATAGCTCAATGATAATACAAACAAGAACACTTCTGGCTTTTTGTTATACACCTTCTCATTTGAAATATCTGAGCATGTGAGAGCGGCACCATTTGATTCTGTGGTTCCCAGGCCATCCCTGCCATTTGGAGTTCTGATGGGGCTGTCTTGTGGCTTTGGATTTGATTTCTTAAAACATTAAGGGTGGGAAAATGCGTGATGGAAGGTTGTGGTATTGCCCATTACTCTGTTATCACTCATGACTTAAATATGCATCAGTTCTGTAAGACAGGTTATCAATTGCTGTTTTTAGCAATTTAGCTATATCACTTCTCGGTTTTATATTGACTGTCACTCTGTATTGTTTGTAGAGGTCTGTTTTGGAAAAAACCCTTTGTTCTAAAAGCCCAGTATGCATTTTAGATTGGGAAATCACACACACAAAAAATCCTTGGAGCTCAAATGGGTTGCTCCATAGTCTGGCCCAGGTCCATCTGATTTAAAACACTCAAATTCCAGCTAGATGTTGGTTCTTTTCTTCCATTTCTGTCTTTAATCCTCCCTTCTCCCAGTGTGAGAATCTCTGGGAATGGTATAACTAAGGCAAAAACCTGGGAGACAGAAGAAAAGAGATTAATTTCTATAAATGCCTCCCTCAATAGGCCCAAATCACATCTGAATGTGTCCCAGGACAGATACAGGTATGTTGCCTTCCCTTCCCAGCACAGCACGGCAGATGGTCTGGCTGCAAAGAATCCTGGCATGTTGCAATTTTTAGTATAACTTGGTACAGTTCTGTTTTGATACCCATTTTCATCAACAAAAATAGTATTTATCCCTATGATAGCAGATCTATCAAAGCCAGATATGAATTGCAAAATAGAGTTTGTCATCTGTTGTCGCTGGCATACTGGCTCTAAAGGATAACCTGGCTTTCATGCTCTTAGCCTGTAGGTATTTCTCTCTCCCTCACTCCCACCTCCTCTCCTGAAGTTGCCCAATACCAAGGTGCTGCTATAAATGCACATAGCCAAATAGGATTGGTAACTCCTGAAAAAGTCTGAGGATGTTTAGCCGTGAAGCATCTTGGTCCTCAGAGGAACTACAGTATGTGGCCAGTGTTCCTATGGTTCCTTAAGGGACCCTGTTCTCATTATGGTGAACCACTGCTCGTTTCTGTAGTTTGGATACACAATAGAAATGCTTGGGAAGTCAGGGAAGAGCGTTGGGTGGCAGGATACTGAGCTGGGCTTGCCTAAGTGAGCACTTGGGAGTACATCTGGTGCTCTGTGGCTTCACCAGTAGTTTCTTAGGATGATAGGCTGTGTGGCTTTTATGGTAGAAGGGGTTTTATTGCATCTTGATTCCATTGCTGTAGGATGTTGGAGAGCCCTTCTCTGATGGACTTAAAGTGTCCCACATCTGTGTCCCACAGCAATATGCTGATGGTGATTCTTTTTTACTGCTTGTCAGCTCCAGTTTTGGGTCAGTGAACGTGAGCATGTACGTGTATGAAGGAAAGGCCTGGAAGGAACAAGAACAGGATTGTTACTTAGTCCGCTACGCCACAGATTTGCAGGTATTACCCAGTGATTGTTTTAAAGGATCTGTTCTTTAGGATCTGACGACAAAACTTCTTGGTTTTCCACCAGTACAGTTAGAAATTTAGCTCATTTGTCTTCTACAACACACAAACTGCCAGTAATGTCACTCTGCAGTTCATGGTGTAGTGGTGACATCCTCAGTTTAAAGCTTTTTGACTTGAAAATGGGCTTTCTACCAACCAGGAGCTCGACAGATGAGAATAAGGAAGTACTGCATTAGTTCTGGTGACTAGTTCTTGCATCTGTGCATCTGTAGAGTATAGATTTTAAATAATTTAAGGCACAGATTACTGCCTGCAGTAGCTGTGTTGTTAGAATCATTTCAGTCAGCAGACATCCAGACTGGGCAGAAGGCAAGGATGCTCAGGTTTCTTTCAGATTCTTTGATTAAAGGATCTTAAAGATTTACTGCAGCACCATATGATTGGAAATTCACCTTATTAATAATTCTTTTTATGAAAACAGAAGAAACATTTCTGAACCAGAAAACCAGAACTCCTCATTCCATATCACATCTCTTTGTAAATTGCTTTTGTAAAGCAAAGCTGTGGTGTAGTTTTTTTTGTCTTCTTTTTTTTTCCCCTTTCTTTCTACATCTTACAAGTGAGGATTGAAATCCCGTATGTATCTGCACCACCTCAGCCCCCAGGATTAGTGGAAATCACACACTTCTAAAAATGTATTGATAAAAACATCCACCTTTTCATTGGATGTATTCATTTCTTAGTTTTTTTCTGTGCTTTTCCAAACTAGGTTCTGGAGGCTCTTTCTTCAAATTTGATATTATTGTTAATCTTAAGATCTTGCCTCTGTGCAAGGCTGTGTTTTAATAGAATTTCTCTCTGGTTCAGCCAGGGCAACCCTTTTGTTGCACTTTCTTTGGGATAATGTTCCCATGTGCTGCAGAGGTGCTGACACATGACCTCCTTACACATAGAAAATCCTAAATGTCCTGCCCCTTGCCAAACCCGTCACACAACTGCCCATCACCCCCTTTTCAGGATCCCAGATGGTAAATAGCAGCAGGAGGTGAAAGGGGAGCTTTGTCTCCATTCTGAGTCCTGTTTTAAGTATTCTGTGTCTGTCTGTATCCCTCTGCTTTTCCCACTCTGCCCATAAATTAGCAAGCCAGCTTTTCTGACAAGGGAAGACAAAATGTCCATAAGCTGCAGTAGCATCACCTACTGAAGATAACATCTCTGAACAGTCCTTAGTTTCATTTGATTTGATTGCGATCTCTTCTCTATTTGGGTAGAATTCTGTCTGGCCTGCTTGCTACAGTATTTAGGGAGATGCAGCTTGTACTGTGTATCAGGCTGCAATTGAAGTTTACCTACAAACTAAAAAAAGCAATCCCTCCAAAACCACCCCCCCAGACCCAAAACCAAACTACAAAGATCTGCTTGTCTTGTTCTCTTGGTTTTTAAAGCTGAAATCACAGGAGGAGCAGCAGTTTCTGCTAGATGGGGAGCACCAGGAGCAGCTGGCTTTGAGTGTATAAAGGGATTTATCAGCCAGGCAGAGAAAGTAGCAGAGATGTGGCCAGAGAATGCAGTGCAGACAGAGCTGCTGTGCAAATCTGTGACCGTTCTTAGAAGCTCTGCTTTGCTCCTAGGGTTCGCCAGGCAGGATATTGTCTCTGCACACTCTTTCTGTGGAGTTCCCCTCAGTGGCAACAGTTTCCTCTTACTTGGTGCAGGAAAGATGATGTGGGCTGTTGTGCAGGGGGGCAGTTGTGTGGAATAAACTGTGCTGGTGTTGCTTCCGGAATAGTCTTGGCAGTATCTGTACTGAGATAGATGATAGCTTGGTATTTGTGATTGGGGTAGTAGGTGTGAGTGACATATAAAATGTATATACGTTGATCTCCCAGAATGAGGTATCACATGAGGTAGCCGTGTGTTCATCCTGAACCTGAAACGTGGCAGCTCTGTCTGAGATTAGTCTTTTCTCTGACCTGGACTGCAGCTGACATAACAACTTTCCAGTTTCAGCTGGCTGGAAATGAGACACTGGTGAACTGAAATACTGAAGGCTTCATGGAGTGGGAGTGCAAGGCCTGTTTACTCTCTGGTACCTGAAAGGGGTATTCGTTTTTGTTTGTTTGATTTTACGTTGCAAATATTGCTGTAGAAATCCTGTGTTACTGCCAAGTTCCTACCTAGCTTTGGGATGCCAAGTGATTGTCAGCTGGGAAGCTGCTGGGAGGGTTTTAAAGCAGTATTGCCTCTTGCAAATGCCATGGCTCTCAAATGTAGAATGAATTCACATTGGACCATTTTTTAATGAGCCTTCATTTTTAAGTGATGAGCAGTGTTATGAGGAAGAGAGCTCTTCCTCTGTTTTCTGGGTAAGAATATTCTGCTTTCCACATTGTAAGTTAATTAGCAAAGGTCTTTTCCTCTGGAATCTCCTGCATTTCTCCTGACCTGTAATTCTATGTATAGTCGTCAAGTAAAATAGATCTGATGAGCTCAGTTCTGACACGTTGTGTTTTGACAGTACATTTTGTTTGTACTGAGTCAATACTTTCAAAGCTGTAGTTGCATGGTCACTTTAATTTGATATATACCTACTTGCTGCCAAAACTCCTTTTGGCTTCTGCCCTAACACCAGCCTACTGTTCCTGTCACCTTCTTTGACTGTCACTAGCGCTTTTATGGCTGCACAATGTGCAACAGCTCACGGGGGAATCAATCTGCCTGAAAATTAGTCATTATATAAGGGAGAGTCACAGAAATTAACTAAACAAATGTGCTGTTGAGTGTACAGAAAAGGTGAGTCAGGGTGGGCTGGTTGGTTTATTCACTGGTATTACATGGTATTATTTCTGATTGCCAAAGGTAGGAAGGTTTCAGTTAAAAGCGGTTTAATCGTAGAACCAAACAATATAAGGGACAGTCTCACAATGGTGCGAGTGTGAATTAAATAGAATCAAAGAGTACTTCTTTAGGCCTAGCTTCTTTAAGTTGTTAAACTTTTGTGTAATAGACGTGGCTGCTAAAGATTAGGTCAAGTGTCTGTTCTTTAACACCTTATTAGGCTGTTGCTCTCAACGATGAGCTGCTGGGAATGCTTTTTTTTCTTTTTTTTTTTTTTTTCTAAGAAAGGCTTTTGATGGATGAAGATGTAAAATGAATAGAAATAGTGTCTCCCTCTTCCTCTTTCCTCCTACTCGGCGCTCACACACAGTCAGCCCTGGGGTCTTTTCTTTCTGTGTGGTTGGCAGAACAGAGAAAAGGAAGAGAGAGAGGTGGAGACTGTCTGGGACCCTGGTGCTGTCAGGAGAAGAATAGTGGTGCTGTTAGCGCTAAATCTGAAGGGACAAGCTTGTGTGTGTATGCTGCAGCAGCCAGTGGGCTGAATTAGTGGCCTTTAGGCACTGCTAAGAGGCTAATTGAGTCACTGGTACTTGCTGATTAAACCAGCAAATCCAATAATGGATGGATGTGCATGTTTGTGTTTGGTTCTGTGCTCTGAAAAATAATGCAAGGTTTTCCTTAACCCTTTCCATTTTGCTCAAGTTATGCAGTAGCTTAAGGAATATCAAAGCATCTAAATAAATGTTTGGGGGAGATCTATTCTTTTCCTCCTGCTCTGTGCAGTGGGATTGGATGAGAAGGCATTACATCAGTTCCAGTAGCAATTGCTGAACTCTACCATTTTTTAAATTGCTGTCTTAAGTGAGCCTTTAGTTTAATGTGGGATAATCCAGATTGTGAGGTAACAGAAGGTGAAGAACTGAAGCCGTCCATGATGGATGATGCATCAATGCCATGTAGGGATGGCAGGTGAAGCCTATGTTGGAATTTTGGTGGGCATCCACCTTGAACCACTCCACCTTTCTGAGTTGTGTTAGCAATGCACAGGTGATGGTTGCACCACTGTCCTGGGTTCAGCAGCAGCAGTCATTTTTCTCCTTCTTAGTAGTTGGTGCAGTGCTGTGTTTTTTGACTTTCAGCCTGGCAACAGCGCTGATAACACCAATGTTTTTAGTTGCTGCTCAGTAATGTTTACTCTGACCAAGGACTTTCTGAGTCTCATGCTCTGCTAGGGAGGAGGGGAAGCCGGGAGGGAGCAGAGACAGGACACATGACCCAAACTAGCCAGAGTGGTATTCCATAGCACAGCACGTCATGCCCAGTATATAAACTGGGGGCAGTTCCCAGAAGGGCTAGATCACTGCTCGGGTCGGGCTGGGTATCGGTTGGTGAGTGGTGAGCGGTTGTGTTCTCTTCCCTTATTTCCCTTATCATTATTATTATTGGTGGTAGCAGCAGTGGGTTTGTGTTATACCTTAGTTACTGGACTGTTCTTATCCCAACCTGTGGGAATTACATTCTTTTGATTCTCCTCCCCATCCCTCAGGGAGCAGGGGGGAAGCGGGGGGAGTGAGCGAGCAGCTGCGTGGTTCTGAGTTACCGGCTGGGCTTAAACCACGACAACCACTGCTGCTGAGTATCTCATGTAGTAAACGCATAAACAGCTCAATTATCAGGTATAAAGATCAGGATCAGAATGTAGGTAAAGAAAATTCTAGTTTTGTGTGTGGGTCATGGGGGGAGTACACAGAGAATCTGCAAAGCTGAACTAAACTTTAATACACCCTTACATTATATTTTCTAATCCACTGTCACTCCTGAAATCTGCCCACAGGCTCAGGGCCTGCTTTGTTTTTGCCCAGGGTGGTTGTTACGATGATTGTGGCTTGATTGACTGCAATGGAATTATTCTGAATTCAGAACACTCAACTGGAGAGCAGAATTAGCTTCTTGTGTTTTCCTTTGAAGTATTCAGTGCTGCTGTGCTGAGGGCATATTGCTTTCAGTGATTCTTTCTCATTGCGGTTTTAACGTTTAAGGAGAACAAGATGCCTCTCCATCTAAACCAGAAGGACATGGATGAAAAAATAGGAAGACTCATAGAGGCGAATGGTGGGTTCAGAACCTTGTGAGTCATTGCAGGGAGATTGACAGTTTGGGAACATGAATGTGGAGGAGTGAGGATGGGATGCTCAGGGGCTGATGAGATAAGGGAGTCTATAGAATGTCAGCAGAGGGGTCAGCAGCAGCGGGCATCTCATTCCAGAGTTAAACTTAGGCATTGGGAAATGGCATTCCTTGATGGCAAACGCAATCTGACAGTTCTCAGCTAGCTACAGTATTCACCTCCTCCCTCCCCCCCCCCAACTGCATATCAGTGGATGCTTTGGAGATCATGTCTGTTCTTGCCTTCAAAGCAGCAAGAAGAAAATATTTAAAGCCACAAGCACACCTTGGAGACTGCAGGGTAAGTCAGGTTAGCAAGAAATTTCCATGTAAGTTGTGTCCCTGTTCAGGCAGCTGAGTTCTTTCTTCATGTGGTCAATGTGTTTTACCTCCTATGCAGAGCTTTTTGCAAAAAAAAAAAAAAAAAAGCCATATGTAGCTCTTCACTTCTGTCTGTCCTCCTTTCTTTTCTTTCTTCTTCTTACTGTGCATGTGAAAGAATTCACTTCTGTTCGTGGGCAGGCCTGGACTGGATCAGCTCCTGGAATTAGCTACACAGGAGTTCATTCATTCCTCCTCTGAAATTACTTGGTGTTTGCTAGGATAACTTGTTATTGTTATTACTGAAGGTGCAGGGAGGTAAGACTGCTTTAGTGGGTAGGGCAGAAGATTGAGGCAAGAGAATTTTTTTATAGTCTCAGCTCTTGACACCATTTCACTGGATGACCTTGGGCAAGTTACTTCACTGTGAAAAAGGACTAATAATATTTACCTCCCTGCCCAACAGGGGTCTTAAAGAGGATTTCTGTGAAGCATTTTTGCATATATACAGGGTTGTATTATTGCTGAGAATTGTTGTTTCTTTATGAATATATATGAAAGGTGCTAAGACATTACCTCATCTTGGCAACTCATTACAGGCTTGTGGTTTCTCTGAATTGAGGTGGTGGCAGAGACAAGGAGTGTTGTCCCCAGAAGCTGTTGACATCCTCAGAAGAGAAAGTGGCAAACCCCATTTCTCCTTCCTGATTAGCACTGTGTTAAAAGAAAAATGTATTTATTCTGAGCATGCAGCCCTTTTGGTAGCATTCTGGGGAAGGGGCCTAAGAAGGCTCCTTTTGGACTAAGTATGTATTATTTTCTGTAAAGCTTTTTGTGAGATCCTATAATGCAGCTCTTCGTGCTGAGGGAGAAGGGGAGAAATCATGATGAAACATTGTGTTATAGTTTTATTTTTGACTCCTGATGACTGGGCTTTGATGGGGGACTCGGCATCACAGAGACCCACAAGGAGGTTGCACAAGCAAGGTCACTCTTGTGGTGTCCAGGAAAACTTACTCTTTCCATCAGTACCACAGTGCAGCTGTGACAGTGGTCATCACTGGGAGGGTTTCCAGTTTGTAAGGGAAAGAAGGATGTGATCCTCATCTGATTTGGTCTTTTACGTAGAGTAAGCAGGAGCATTGCAGGGAGATCATAGCAAACCTGTGTTGTTGAGGGAGCATTTCCTTTGGCAGAAAATAAAAACCATAGGCATAAGGTTGCCTATGCAAACCGTGATGTGCTGCGGCTCAGAGTGACTTGATACAGCCATGACCTTAGACTGAACTACTGCACTGATCTGTAGTGGTGTTGGTGCCCATCCAGCCACCCACTGCTTATTTTACCATATATATGTATTCCCAGATGGCATGTGAAGAATTAGTGGCATTGAATTTGGGCCTCTGGCCGTTACTCTTGAGCGCTGCCAGTATTTCATCAAGGTTCAGTTGTCCTGTCTACTTAAAAGGAAAAAAAGAAAGGCTTTTTGTTTTGGGTTGTCACAGGCCTCCATGTTTGGGTTGAAGCTGTTGACGGACAGACGTGTATGAATACCGAGTGCTTTGTGATAAATGTTGCAGCCTTGTGGTTTGCAGATCTTCTCAGGTGATGTGAGTCAGTTGTATAATGACAGCTATCAGATAACATCTCCTGTCCCAGCTCAGAGTGAGCAATCTTAGATTTTAGTCTACTGTGTTGGCAAGGCAAGTTTAGGTCAGATAGAAACCTGTCAAAAGCTCTGATCTGAATAAATAACTGTGCTTCCTCCTGTTCTGATGTCTTGTAGCTTGTGCTTTTTGGCCAGAATGTTAACGCTCATCTCTAGGATCTCCTTGTATTCACTGTACACATTGTGGGTAGAATGAATTAAAAAGTGAGCTTGTGGCATGAAAAACATAAACTGGTGTGGAATGGATGTAGCATCACTGCTGTTCTCAGGAGTTTGTTAGAAATTTCTAGAGGGCTCCTGTCTCTTCCACAGGTCCAACAAGTTGAAGGGTTCAAGAGATGCAATGGACTTTCACACATTTTAGGGGGAGTGCTGTGATAAAATAATTGGGTTTCATTACATTAGTAAAACATTTAGTGCTCACTCTTCCCCTCTAAAAACCTGCCAGAATACCTTCAGGAGTGGACTTCTCAGCATGGCTGCCCATCTCCATGTCCCTTTTCTGGGACTCATCCTTGCAGCTGGTTTTCAGCTCAAACTCAGCTGAGACTTCCTGGAGTTCTGCACTCGCTCTCAGGGCTTTTTAGTCCAGCCTTTTGACCAAAGGCTGCTGGGGGTTGTCCACTTTGGTTACAGAAACAACTTTATTTTTGAGCTTTACCACAGAAGCTGTAAACCAGAAATGCTTCATGTGAGCAGGTAGTGTCCAGTCTCCAGCTGAATCCCCTGCAAGATTCTGAGCTGGGATCTCTGTGCATTGATTCCCTAGTTGACAGGGCCATCCATTGTGCTCTTTGTGTTGTAGGTTTCTTCGTTTCCTTAAGCCATATTTGTATTATTGTTTCTTTCAACACTTAAATGTATTTTTATTCTGTGCATGTGACTTCTAAGCAGATGCGTACCTTTATTCAGAGAAACATACTTAGAGATTTCATGTGGGGTTTCTCCATTTTGTGTGTGTTAATGTTTGCAGGGATGGAGTATGTTGTAAAGTGTGTGTTCTTAAAGCTCTGTGCTTGTGTGGTTTAAAATGAATAAGCTTTACCTTTCAAGCGAACAAGCATGCTAGTATCAAGGGTTTGTGAATTATAAAAAATCCTTTATATGTATAAACCACATTATCTACAGGTTTATCTCCATATTCAGATTATTGTTTGGAGAAAAGAAAGTTAATTTCAGTAATGGAAATGAAATTAAAACTTTTGTTGTTGTTTTGAGGGAAGTAGATCTCTCTTGGACACAGAACATATCTTGCACAGACTGCACGCAGCATGCTATGTGCAGAAGAGAAAAGCCTGGTGGATTTTTCAGTAGAGGTAGGAGTTTCTGGATGAATTCTCTTCATGTTAAGGTCGGGAGGTGTTTGTGGTTTGTTGTGGCTCTGTGTGCTCTAACCATGATGCCTGTATGGGTGTGTGATCACAGCGAGGTGACCTGTGCTAACAGCCAGATGTTACAGGGCTGTGGTTGGGGCTGGTTGAAGGATCAAGAAATTGTGTTTAACCTGTTCATTTGTCTCCTGCCCCAACGCATTCTCTGTTTTGTATTGTAAAGACAGGTCTTCATGGATCTACCATTTTAAAACTGCATCATCAGGAGGTTTCAGGTTGATGATTTGTGTAAATCGGAACTTTCCAGCTAGTAAAAAAGTTTCACTTGAAGCAAATACTTTGTTTCCTTGTTTTGCACGCAAGTACAGTGATTAGGTCTTCCTCCCTGTGTTCCTGGCTGGCTTTTCACATTGTCATGTTTGTATTTGCAGTGAGATAGGGATGTCACTTATCACCTGATTCTCCTATGCAAAGGGCTTGTCAGTCAGCTTTCATCAGAAGTATCTTTTTGTGAAGTACAAAAGATACTTTTCAATACACTTATATGCATTTTGTGGCACTTTTGCATCACCTTTCTACTCAAGTGGCAAAGGGAGTTGAGTGTAAATGGGAAATAGTTTGTACATATTAGGAGTAATACTGCCTTGGAAGTGCCACACATAAAGTGCAGATGATTATTGTAAAGTTCTCGTTCTGGTTTGAGAAGCAAAGAATTATCTTTGAAAGAAGAATATGGGCAATTATTCTGTATTAAATGTGCTTTCTTTGTAAAAGAAAAAATGGTAAAGCACTTGAAGATGCACTGGCATGAATGGTGCCATGAAAGGAGAAGTCTATGGCAATAGAAAGGAATTTTGCATGTTTCTGTCCAGTGAGAGGGCTGCTCCGAACAGAATTGGATTGTTTAGTTGAGATGATTCTTGTTCAAGAAAATCAAAAAGGCTTCACTCCTGTCATAACAGAAATGGGTCACTGTCTTTTTTAACTGGGTCAGAGGAGTTTCCCGCATAGGAGGCTCTTACCATGTTTGGTGAGGGTGAAGTGTTGGAACAGCCCAGTCCTGTTAACTCTTAGTGCAGGGTGCTGCACTGTCTGCACGAAGTAGTCACGAGGAAACTACCTGCCCTGATAGATGGAAGTGTTTTCTGGTAACTTACCTGGGAGCTGGTCCAGCTGACTTGGGCTAGAGGTCAAGTCCTTCCAAGTTAGCCCAGTGCTTTGGCTTCTGTTGCAGCCAGAGGCTCTCCTGCATTTCACTGTAGGAGAAGAAAAATGTGGCTCTCTGGACCTGAGTTCCTCGGGCTCTTTCAGTTCACTTGCCTATCCCAGCGAGCCCTGCTTTAAAAATACTGTGTGCTGTAGCAGCATGAGAGTGGTGCCCACCCTCGAAGCACAGTCTGAGAATGCTTCAGGAGTTAGAGAGTAAACCCCCTCTCATTAGGGAAAGAGAGAGAGTCTCCCCTGTTTGTCTGTTTTATGTGAAAAGAGGCAGTGTCTAAAAACCAAAACAAAAACCCCACAGCACAACAACTGGCCTCCTTCCATGAAGTGGCCCTATTTCCAGCTTGCCTGCCACGGTACCAGGGGCACAGGCTGCTCTTGTATGTACATAAAGCCTTGTGATTTGTGTTTAGAGCTGGGAGTCTCCGAGAGTTCAGCTCTGCTGGAACAAAATGTTCAAGACAATACTGTGGGATCCAGCTGGAGGTTTAGCATTAATGCAGTGTCAGCCAGATGGAAATGAGGTGGAGAGGGCGGGGGGGATGGGGAATGTCTTCTCTTCCGAGGGAAAGGAAAACAATAGTAACTCTGAAATATATATTCACATGTATCTATAGTGCTAAATGCTAGCTATGATAGGCATGTTCTCATTCAGCTTTGTGCCAGTAAGATGTCAGCTGGGCTTTGTGTGTGGTTGATACAGCAAATAGGGCAGAGACTGCTCTTGGTGAAACGCCCGTGCAACTCCACCAAGTTTGGATAGGCACTGACGGAACTGGAGCAGAATTTGCTCATTGCCTGTGACTTTCAGAAGACACTAGTGAGTTTGTGTGTACATATGGGCATGCCTGGTGCTGGCCTGCTTTTCAGAAGTACCAAGTACATACATCCTGAAATGACCAATACTGAAAGATACAGGTAAGTTTTTCCAATCTTCAGAGTTATTTCTAGATGCAGCATGCAACTGTAAGCAGCAATAGCCCAAATCTGTCCTTTGTCACATATTGTATTTCTTGCCGATTTGCTCTGGAAAACCTGTAGCTGTGTGACCATCAAGAAACAGGGAGCATGAAGCTCATGTTTTTTGTAGTGGAGTCATGGTGGTTCTGTACAGGAGTGTTGAAAGAAAAGAAAGAAATCCAAGCCAAATAGGCCAGCTGGAGAAGACAAGGTGACTTTCTTCTGTTCCATGTTTCTCAGACATACAACCTTCTGTTGTTCCCCTGAGGTAAAGCAAAATACTAAAGAAACTACTCTCCTTCACATCTTGCTTTAAATGTGCCAAACCTAAGTAGGTTGGTAGGTAGCTCTTCTGTGGAGCCACAGAGGCTGTTCATACTGTTTGCCTCTTTTTCTACTGGTTTCACATTTGAACTCAGCAAAAGCAGAACTACCTGAATGCAGACTCAAAAAGCCAGTTCTGTTTTTGCAGAGAGAGGATTTGGCAAGAAAGAATCTCTCCTCCACCTCTTTTTTTTTGGTGTATTTTGGTCTTCCTTCTTTAAGAGGAGAGGTCAGCAGGTTCTAGTGAAATCCACTTGAAAAGATTGAGAAAGACAGTCCACTCCTGTAAGCAGTCTTGGTTCAGCAATAACTTTTAGAACATATCTGGAAGCACAGTGGTGTTCCAAAGCATGCTTCAGGGCACCCCTCTGAATAACATCAAGTATTAATTTAACATCCTAGAGCCTGCATGGCTGCAGCTGGATGGGCAGTGGTACAGCGTGGCTGTCAGTCCTCTGAGGAACATCCTTGGGGTGAAACACTTCGTTCATATACTAAAGAAAAGCCTTTTAATCGATGAAGAAGAATGAGGAGATGAAGCACAGTGGTATTCCACTTGACGACCTTGTCTAGGAGCAGTCAGTATGCACCAGGAGATGTATTCTCTCTTCTGGAATTTTCATAGGTCATTCTCCAA